AATATATCTGCATTCAAGTCCGAATTGAGCTCTAAATTGGTTTCATTTTTGGTTTATCTTAAAACCTTTTGTGCTCTGTTTAAACTGCAATCCGAAGGAGTACAAGTGAAATGAACTTGTCAGTCTCATGTTGACGTCTCCATTTAAAGTTATATGCCAGCAATTTTAATTTGATTACTTAAGTCCTAAGCCACTCATACTGAGCATGAAACCGACCGCTCCTTTGAGATTCTTCAATTAATCCCAAGAAGTGAGTTATTTGCTTATCGAAATTCAAGCAATTTTCGTTGTATCCTTTTGGGTTTACGATCAGTCAGAGTTTAAAAGCAAATGTGTTGATTGCTTGATTATAAGTTGAAATTGTTGCAGAACAATTTAAATTTTAAAGTACAGACAATTTAAATGAAGATTTCATTTTATGATATCAACAATTTTAAAGATTCAATAAAACCAAGTTGAAAATGAGTTGAAATGATTATATGTAGTTTGTGGAAACTTGACTTCAGATAAAAGCTTTGTAAGCAGTAGAAAACACACATCGGAATATAAGATATATTATATATACTTAATGAAATATATTTACAACATAACTATTGAACCAAATATATAATGTCATATCACAATAGCACACATAAGATGAGGATCATATGATGTGATATTTTATTTAATTTATGCGAAAGCATTGCCTGCTTTAGCTCCGTTTAAAGAACTATAAACCATAAAATTTGCATACAAAGGTAATTTTATTTATCCCTGTTACGAAGTCCTCGCACTCCTTTGACGTTTGGTACGAGTACATGGGCATTAGTACGAGTCACCAAATCCGACCATATGGAAGCTGTAAGGTTTTCGCATGAATTATTAATGAAATCACTCAATCGATCGTGACAAAGTGAAGCGCTGATTGACAGATTGACACAAAAGTAGTACATACCTTTATTTTATGAACAAACACGCAAGTGACAATAAATAATAAAAACAAAGGCACAAGGAACAATACAAATAAACAACATACAGCACATAACTCATATGATCTCCATAAGAAGTCAGCTCTGAGTGCTTGGTAAGGACACAAAAGATCATTGTTGGCTATCTTTTAACTTGATTTGATCATGGCTTGGTAAACATTTAAGTTGATTGCATAAATCAATATTTAAATTCCTAAAACGTTGCTCGACTGCGCATATAAGTACCTAAGCGATTTGAAACAGGCAAGTGCAGTTCCATGATCAAGGCTAGTGATACTGATCAATTTGCAACTGCTGCAGCACGCATCTCTTTGGCTTGATCAATGCATTGCCTCTCCTCTTGTGGTATTTTATGCGTTACCAGTGATTTTGTTGTTGCAGTTGATTTTGCATTGACAAATGATAAATAAACTTGACATTTTATTTTATGCTTTAGGTCTTGTCTTTTCCTTATTGCATCGATCGAGTTGATTGTGCATCAAGGACAACCACAACTCATCTAGCATTTGCGAGTCTTTACTTTATGTTTATAGTTTCATCATGTTTATGTCAACAGCAATATCAACAAGTTGCTGCGTTGTCACATAATGGAACGAATGAGCATGGCTGAAATATAAAAAATTATCGCATATGTTGGCCTTATGTGCGGGTTTCTGCGAAACTATCAGATTTGTGTATATCATCACTTAGATAAGAGTAAAAAATTTTAATAAAAGCAATGTGAGCTTGCTTTAGTAATTGGTAATAAATGGGGATATATTAAAAACACTTTTTGTCAGCTATATCGACTACTTGGAATTGTTACTATGACAAGAGTTGACGAAATTAATTGTAATTGTAGGGGCTTCGTGAAGTGGGCACAAGGCAGTTACTCCAACCTAACTTAACCTAGGGATTTCGTTGAAATGTTCAATAATGAAATTAACTAAAGATGTAAATAAATCATGGTTTAATTTCAACTTAAATAGAGCAATAGTATATTTTGCGAATACTTTTAAATTTTCAAAATTAATACAAAATACTTTTGTCCTTCGGAAACTGCTCAATAAGTCTTTGTAAAAGTCATATCTGAATGTGAAACAAAAAAAATAATTTCTTTTATTAATTAAAATGACATTTAGCTACTTCTTCTATTCAATTAGCGGCTAGGCGCCATTTTGATAGAAGTCTAAGTTCTGAAATCAACCAGCACAGTTAACGAAAGAGGGATTTTTTGTGAAGATCGATATTCGAGATGCTCACAGGCTAATTAGTTTGCAGACTTTCCCAATGGAATACGCAAATCTTTCCATGCTTGAATGTTTGCAAAGAAACTGTTCAACTCTTTATTTTTCTTGTTCTCTTTGCCTATAGTTTCCATTAAATACTGCTTACATCTCAATTCCATTGAACATTTCTGATATTGCGGATGTTTTACAAAGTCTTTTCTTTCGGTTCCTTTTAGTAGGTTGCGCAACCACTTCTCACATCTTTACCATTCACCTCCTTTGCTTGTTTACTGATCAAATCATATAAAACCAATGTGAACAATAAGGATAAGCGTGTACATACTTGCTACTTAACATGGTTATTTGATGTGTTTGCGTACTTATTTAGCCATTATAACTCATTAACGGCTTTCGGCTTGACGCAACATGTTCCTTCAGACGCATGTGCTACGTGCGCATTTTCTCCAGTGTCGTATAGCAAGTGCAGTCAGTGTTCCTTCAACTTGATCACTCTACCGAAGATATGGTCGTCTACTTCCTCCAACTACCTCTTCAAAAACTTTTTTCGCTGGAGCATTTTCGTCCATTCTCTCGACATAACAAAGCTAGCAAAACCGATGGATTTCAACTCGCTAAATATCAATGTCGTGCTAAAGCTCGTGGTTCTACTGGATGCGATAGTCATTGCTAAAGAGTAAAGGAAAATCTTTTATTAGTAGTACAATAATAATCTTCCTATGAATCGTTTTGAATAAATTTTAGATATTAATATTTATAACAAACGACTTCTTTTTATAATTTGTTCAATTAAAACTTGAATCACGTTGGTTTGGATCACATAGCTTAAAACATATATATATATATATGTCATAGACATCACCACAACAAAATATATTATTTTAAATATTATTATTTGTAATAATTGAAACTAATACTTACTACTAATAAAAGGTGAAAAGCCATTTACAAACAATTTAAGCTATAATCCAGTCATTCTATCCAGATCTAGATAAAAGAAGCACTTATCGAATGCATTGTGCCAATTTCTGAATTAATCAAACGTCTTACGTTATTAATATCAGTCCATCCATCCTGCGTGTGTCTGACATTACTAGATTTTAGACCTATTTTGTATTCTTAGTACTTGATACTAAGTTTCAATTTAGATATTTAAATGATTTTTAAAGAGACATTTCATATCTACTCAGGTATATGTTGAATCTGTATGGTAATAGCACAAAACCAAAGTACTTACAATACAGATATTAAAAATCTGATATTCAATATTAGAGATATCTGAATTTGATTTTATCTGAAAAGGTGAAGCACAACATCAGTAGAACCTTTTTTTAATTTTATTAGAGACTGAAGAGTACTGAATTGCAACAACAAAATTTTTATTTATTTTTAATTAATTAAATTCTTGGCTGACGGTACAGTTGATTCGATTATTGCCAAATACTCGTCATGAGTGTCTTGGAATTATTTCTTATATTTAATAATTCGTTAACTAAATTTGCTTATTTTCTTTGGAGAGAAAGAACATATATTATTATATATATTATAATATATACTAAATATTGTTAAATATATTTATTCAAAACAAAATATATCATTTCTTCGTTACTCAGTGTATCCAGAAATACTTACTAACCAATACTATATATTAAAGTTTTAAAAAGTTCTATTCAGATTAATTTGATATTCGTAATGTGAAAGTCTTTTTAGAAATCAATTTCCATATATAATAATCATCTCTGTATTGATATAACCGCAAATCTCATGCTGTTTGCCGGTACTTAAGCAAGCCCATAATATTTCATGGCCATAAAAGTAGAAGGTGTCAATATAACCGAAATTATTTCACAAAATAATTTTGCTCACATATAAAATAAAGTTTTTAATAGTTTATATATTTCTGTTGCCAGACACAATGACACTCACTTCAGCACACCGCCAACTCCATAAAAAACTATATTTCCTTAGGTAACTGGCAGAGAAGAAAGCCACCAAATATGAGTTATTGTAATGTGTTGAATTAAATTAAATGCAGGCGTAAATGTGTCAACTGCCATAAATGACAGCAGGTGGCTTGGCGTTCCCGAGGAGTTTATGTGCCCATAAAACATTATCATTTTTATTTATATCCATTGTTTTCGATAATTTTTATGTT